ATTAACTGCACACAGAATGTGGAATTACTCTTAAGGCCTTTGAATTTGCATCCAGTTATGCATATGTTCCTTGTTGTAGGCTATTGTCCTGTTGCTTATTTAAGAAATGCCTTCTTTTCTTCCTTCTTGTTTCCATTGACTTCGTTCAGACCACAAACACAAGAACAGACGAATATGTTCTCTCTGAATTTTATCCAAGTTTTTTATATGGTATGGAAGGCTAGATTTTATATGCTGCAAATTGCATACTGCATATTATTAAGTATTAGTTATTGGTTTCTACTTCGTTTTATAGCTAATGTTTTCTACTTCGTTTTATAGCTAATGTTTTTGGTTTCATTGTCAATCTTTGGTCTGTATGATTTTTTTAATTAATATTTTTGGCTTACCTTTTCAGGCAAATGTCTAGTTTGACAATTTTGATCAACTATGGTGGGAGGTGGGCTAACTCGATGTATAAAAATTGCAAAAGTAAAGGACTACTTGTTTCAGACAAAATTACATTTGAGGAACTCCGGAATAAAGTGTATGACATTGCCAATGTGGACCGAAATGAGTATGAAGTAACTATGAAAGTGATATATGATGCAATGAAAAGTGCATGGCCCACAGAGATAGTCGATGATGATGATGTAAGAGCTTTTATTTTTGAAAGCCTTTCAAGGTCTTACAAGATTCCATTGTGCATTACAGTGAAACGTAAAGTATTTTCTTACGCCAGTGGAAGCAATCAACAAACTCCACTAGTTGGATATGAAAAGTGGGCTCGTGCGTACTTTAATGGGAAGCGGTACAACGTAATGACAACAAATATTGCTGAATGTCTCAATTCAATCACTAGAGATGCTCGTAAGTTGCCTATCACCAATTTTATGGAGTATTTAAGAATGAATATACTTCAAAATTGGTTTCATAAGCGTCGAACTGAGGCAGCCAAAATGGATTCACATTTGACGGAATGGGCTGACAAATTGGTGCGAGAAAATAACCAAAAAGGATTATCATTGCAGGTATTTTGAATTCATTTTTTTTTCCTTTGTTGCAAGTATTTAATTTTAAAGAAATTATTGAATTCATTTGTTCTTTTGTTTAGGGAACAGATTTGTTGAAAAGTTTTCCAATAAAATGGTTGGGGAGTATTTATAATGTATTTCATTTTTCTTGAATATACAGGTTTCTCCTATTGAGACATACTCATTTCATGTGTACGATGGAAGTTGTGTTGAAGTTGTAAATTTAGAGGGGAAGTGTTGCACATGCCGAGAATTTGATCTTGACCAACTACCATGTGCACATGCTTGTGCAGCATGTAGGCATCGACAAATTTCGTGCTACCCAATGTGTTCAAAATATTATACTACAAACTCATTGATAATTGCGTATGCAGAACCTATATGGCCAGTTGGGGATCAAACAGATTGGGTGGTGCCTGATGATGTACGAGATAGAATTGTGCTACCACCAATTACACGAAGAAGGCATGGCAGGCGTAAGGAAAAGAGAATCCCTTCACGAGGAGAAGAACCATCAACTCGTAAGTGTTCAAGATGTGGTTCAATTGGCCATTATCGACAAACTTGCAAGAATCCGATTGCACTTCATCCTACCTCATAGACTGAGTGGTGTAATATTTTTCTCTTTAACTTTATGAATTGTAATGAATGAATATTTAATTATATATTTTAATGTAGATCGTTTTATTGAATTTTTTATTCTACAGAATACCTCTAAATTTCTGACAATTTTTGAAGAATTAAAGTTACGTGAAATATTTTTTTTTTTGGGTGAGAAGAGGAAATTATACTTGGGCATAGATTCAATAATTTATTGAATTTTTGGTTCTACATACTTTTTTTTTAATATTTTTTGCCAAAGAAATACGTACATTTTATTTGGAGACAAATGAGAGAGAAGAAGATGAGAAGAAGAAGAA